AAAAAAACTGTACAACAAGCTCCCAATATCCATTAAAAAATAACTAGTGTAAAGCTCTCTAAACAAAAAGTTCGGAAAGTATTATGTGAAAAGGTATTTTATTCGCTTGATGAATTTTTTCAGTCTGATTTGGAATTTTAAATTTTAATTTTTGTACCCCTTTTATGGTCTGAATGTTATGTAATATATCATATAATTATGTTGTTTTATGATTGTGACCTCATTGTAATTGTACTGAGTTATGTGACTTTTTCCATGCCTTCCCTAAGTCTACGGAAATAAAGATTTTTTAATTTGATTTGATTTTGAAGAGACTGCAAATAAACTTATTATCATTTATTATTATTTATGCATCATACTCATCCTACGTTCTCTTATATGTATGCACATATAGATACTTATGTAGATTGTTGAAGTACATATTTTTTTCTTTAGCTGTAATTCTAGGTTAACTTCTGACTTTCACAACATCCAATTTGTGTAAGCAGTTGATATTACACAAGTCGATGATAATAAATTTCTCAAACACACTTGCTTTGGGAATACATAGAAAACTCAGAAATTATATTACTGATATCAGTGAACAAATGCATCTGCATGCACGCAAGTAATCTTTGATTACAAAAGTAGGCTTCTGTCTAGCATTCAACTTCCACTTCCGAATCTTAAAATTGATTACTTCCTTCCTTTCCTTGGAAGATTCCCTCGTCCTTGTTTTTTGTATCAAGGTGGAGTAGTAGAAAGCCAAAAACTTTCTTTCCCAAAAATTAATCACTCCTAAAAATATAAACCCTTCAATTCACCAAAAAGAACTATCAGAATATGACCTAGTGTTGCCGATCTGACAAGGCTTAGTATCTTACAAATTGAATTAATTTATTCAAGTTGCCATACAAAATGTACTGTCTGACCCATTGAAAATGGAAGTATCCTTTGTGATACATATATTTTTCAACCAATTGGAATTAATTTATTTTCGTTAGCCAGACATTCGAGAAGTCTACTTGACCATAAAATTTCATGAACGAGTCTTCGTTTTTAGAGCTAACTATTATATTCCAATAGGTACCCCAAGTGTATTCTCATTTCCTTGTCAATGAACACCAGTTAACCTAAGTAAGAGGCCTGTTGAAAAAATAGGGTAAATTTTGATTGTTCTTAAATATTTATTTATTCATCAATTCCTATTTCGTCCTCGTTAAAGTAGTCTCCCTTGGATGTAATACACTTGTGTCAGCGTTTTTTCCAATCCTAGAAGCAGTTCCAGTATCCTTTTTTTTGGTATGTCATTGAGCTCTATCAGGGATTCGGTTTTTATCTTCTCAGTCGTTCCAAAACACCGTTCTTTCATGGGTCTCTTCAATCTTGGGATCAGGAAAAAGTCGCATGGTGCCTAATCTGGTGAATATGGTGGCTCAGACATGATTATGGTATTGTTTTTGGCGAAAAAATTACGGACAAGCAATGACGAGTGAGCAGGTGCATTATCGTGATGCAAAATCCATGAATTGTTTTTGCACAATACCGGACGTATTCTTCGTATTATTGCTCTTCACAAGCGGCGCATAATTCCTGAAGCACTACATCACGGTAATCGAAGAAAATAGTGAGCAAAACCTGGACACTTAATCGAACTTGGCGAGCTTTTTTTGGTTCTCCTGGGCTCTTCCATTGGGACGATTAGACTTTGGTTTAGATGTCAAAACCATATACCCATGATTTGTCACCATTCATGACCCTTTTAAGCAAATTTTGATCGCCGTTGATGTTACTCAAC